TCTTATTTATACAGTTTTGCTGGTGTATGACTTTGCTGTAAGCTACCATGCTATATTTGTGGAATAAAAAATGTCTACATCCACATTACGCATAAGCATTACAAGAAAACATGTATCTAATATACAGCCCACATTTTAATTTTTTTTATACTAAGCCAAAGCCATGCTTTAAAATAAATTAGCAAATGGCTTTTTCTAATCTTCTTTGATTACTTTAAGTGTGAAAGGGAAGGTGGAGAGAGGAAAAAAGAAATGGACAGAGAAAAAATACTCCCATCCACTGGTACACTGCCCCCCAAAGCCCAAGAAACCAGGCCTGGGCCACCCCTAGGGCTGGGAGCCAGGAGTCAGGAGCATAATCGAGGTCTCCCACATGGAAGGCAGCAACCCAGTTCCCTAAGCCAGTCCTATCTTCCAGGGTCTGCAGCATTAGCAGAGAGCTGGTGTCGGGAGTGGAGCTGTTGGATGACGCAGGTATCTTAACTGCCAGATCAAAAGTCATCCTGAAGAACCAGTAGCATGGCACAGCATGTAAAACTGCTGCCTACAATGTGGGCATGCCACATGCGCAGTGGTTCGTGTCCCCACTGCTCCACTTCCAATCCAACTCCCTACTTACAGCCTGGGAAAAGCCCTGCCACCCACATGGGAGACACTGATGAAGCTCCTGAGCAGTCTGGTCCACCACTGGCTACTGCAGCCATCTTATTATATTTTCACCCTCTCTTAGAGGACACTCTTTGATATATTCAAACTGCCAGCATCACTGCTCTCGTGCTTTGGGATCACTATTAAGACAATAAAGGTTCTTTGACACAAGCACTGTGACAGTCAACAATCTACGCAACACGCCACCTGATAACTGAGGCAGCTAGCTGACTAATGGGCTCGTAGTGTATAAAGCAAGGATGTGCTGGATCACGAGAAAAAACTGGAAGGCATGAGATCTCTAAACTATTCTGAATAACTATTTAAAACGTACAGACTTGAAGGCCTGGCACTGTAGCCTAAAAGCTGGAGTCCTCACCTTGCACGTGCCAGGATCCCATATAGACACTGGCTCATGTCCCGGCTGCTCCATTTCCCATCCAGCTCCCTGCTTGTGGCCTGGGAAAGTGTCCAGGACAGGCCAAAACCCTGGGACTATGCACCCGTGTGGGAGACCCGGAAGGAGCTCCTGGCTCCGGCTTCGGATCGGCTTAGTTCCGGCCATTGCAGCCATTGAGGAGTATACCAGTGGATGGAAGCTCTTTCTCGGTGTATCTCTTTCTCTCTGGAAATCACACATTCTAATAAAAATAAATAAGGCTTGTTTTTTTTTTAATTTCTAGACTTTTGCATTTCATTTTCTCAAGCCTCCACTGACTGCGGTTGATAGTAATAGGGACTATGAGAAGCAAAGTCCAGAGTAAGGTGGGACCACTATATTACCACCCTGCTCATCACCACTCAAAGAGACCCTGAAGACCAGTACAACCCCAATGTCCTAAAACTGTGCAATAAAACTTAAAATGATAGATGAGGGTCAAGTACCAACGGACAGTGAAAGCGTCAAAACAACAACTTGTAAATGTCACCTTCAAATGATACATTAAACAAATTATATATACCAATCTGTGATCAATTGAATCATTACTTCAACATATACTTAAACTGTACTATTACCCTGTCCAACACTAAAAATTTCAGTGTGATTAAACATACAGAGGAACTGTGCTAACCAGTTGATAAACCACAGGGTATGAGTATACATTTAGTACTTACCAGCTCAGTCATTCACTCATTCAAGCAACAAAATATATCTGGTCTCTAAGAGCTCATAATATTCACAAGTTTATATATAAACTTTTGTGTGTGTATGCAAATAAACTCCCAAGAAAGGCAATAATTACAGATAATAAGTAGTCCTAGACCAGGACAACAGTCTATGGACATAAATAAGTTCTAGCTTTCGGTGCTGGCATATGAGCACTATTACAACACCAATTAAAACTAGCTGTAAGCAGCTTTTTAAGAAAGTACAAGATATAGCACTTCTTTGCTACAGATTGAACATCATAACTATAAATTCATTAGCAATTACTTTCAGCTTTTTAAGGAGAAATAATTCTTGTTCAGTATAAATATGATGGTAAATATATTAAGCAAGAATAACCAACACTATTCCCAAAGGGGTAATTTATTCCAATAATAGAACTTTTGTATAAACATCTTTTTGAGACCGGCAGTTTTTTTTAATGAAGAAGCTAGAACATGGGCATTAAGAATGTGGCCAAGTTTATATAGAATGGATAGAAGAATTATGTAATCCTCATTGTCTTTTTCTTACAAAAAAAACCCCCTGATACTTCTTAACAACAGCTTCTGTGGCAACTCTCAAGGTAAACTGTGGTGCTCTGTATTTTGTAGTTAAGCTTTATATAGTGTGTCAGTGTTGAATAAATTCCTTTGGTACATAGAGGGGTAACACCCATAGACAAATGTGTATTCTCTTGTCATTGTGAATAAAACCTTTAAGTTTTTATATTAAAATATGACTGAGGGCCTGGCATGGAGGCCTAGCAGCTAAAGTACTCACTTTGGACGTGCCAGGACCCCATATAGGCACCAATTCTAATCCTGGCAGCCCTGCTTCCCATCCAGCTCCCTGCTTGTGGCCTGGGAAAGCAGTCAAGGATGGCCCAAAGCCTTGAGTTCCTGAACCCAGGTGGGAGACCTGGAGGAAGTTCCTGGATCCTGGCTTCAGATCGGTGCAGCACCGGCCATTGCAGTCATTTGGAGAGTGAGTCATCGGACGGAAGATCTTCCTTTCTGTCTCTCCTCCTCTCTGTATATCTGACTTTGCAATAAAAATAAATATTTTTTAAAAATAAAATTTTAAAAATAACTGAAACCCACAAATAGCAGAAATGTATCATTTTCATGTTTAAAAGTCAGTAAACAAACACCTGGTAGGTGTCGGTTAAAAGGTTTTATTCATGTGTATCAAATTAAGTTATAAAACGCTTATAAGATCTAACCACAAAGTACAGAGCACAACAGCATGCCTTCTAAGCTGCTCACAATCTGTCATTAGACAACATTGTACCAATGAATTCGCTAAGTTCTTCTACATAGTCTATCTACAGGAACCATGCCACATCCTCACTCTCATGTTCTAGCTTCTTTGCTACAAACTGTAAGGGAACTCAGGAATGTATGTCCACAGAACTTACTTCTTCCTACTCTGGTAAGCAGTGCCCATCAGAACACCAGTTCACTGTTTTTAGCCTTCTCTAGTTAGTTTAGTTATCATCCGGAACAGGCTACTTTTAAAACTGGCCCATGCCCATTAAGTCAACAGCGAACTGACTTGCCAGAAACAAGGAGAGAAGACAAGGCAATCTGCCAGTATAAGGTCCATGAAAGTGCACATCCAGTGATAAGTAACACCTGTCAGTGTCCAAATGGCAAGTCTCAAGAGCCGTCTTGAAATGAAACAATAGTTAGAAGACCAAGGAGTCCACCAGCTTCACTACATTGCTCATTGGTTCGACAACACTGGCACTCCCACCAGGTGACAGACTTCTGTCTAGGTCAGAGGTATGCCGGACGGGCACACAAAGACCCTATTCTTAAAAGTGTTTATACACAAAACCCAGTGAGGTGTCTTCAGGAAATGGAAAGAGCAAATACCCAATGATTGAAACAAAGAAAGGCAAAGCTTTTCTCAGAGTTTAAAAAAAAAAAAAAACAGCGCACACACATATCTGTGTATTGATTCCTAATGCAGCAACCACTTCAAAACTTTTTCCTACTGTGCTTCCTATGTGTGGGCAAATTCTCTACTGCGCTTGTTTTCTGGTACTTTTGTTGTAACAGACTAAAGCAATGAGAGCGGAAAAGCAAAAACAGGATGCATATGGTTTATTAAAAATGACTTAAGCGCTTCCATATCAGGGGCAGGCCTGGGAGGGCGCACAGACGCGTTCGTGTGACCCGAGGGTCCGCACCCGCACCAGTGGACATCTTAAAGGTTAAACAACAGCATCTAACAAAAACCACCGGGAGGCAAATAAAGCATTGTCTCTTGGAATCGGGCACGTTGTCACAAAGATGCAGTCAATGCAAAAGCAACTCCCTGCTTTCTCTAGGTGTCTTTAACCCTTGCAGGCGGGGCCCGTCCTCCAACCGCTGGTCCCTGCAGACGCGACCAGCAAGTCTTTCTCTGGCAGAGGGAGTGACGTGGCAAGAGGCAGAAAGTGACCCTGGAGGCGCCGTGTGTCCAGGGCTGCGCCCGGCACCGCCTTCCTCGGCTCCACGTTGGACGCCCCGCACACCCCCACTCCCCGGGGTTCCAGAATTTCTACGCGAGAAGGGCTGGCCGGGGGAGGGCGAGATCCGACTGGAAGTAAGGACCTGGACACTAGCCACGAAGCTGCGCGAGCCAAGCAGGCAGGCAGTTTTTTCATTAAAATCGAGACTGAAGAGGGGGACACTGCCGGCACCCAGAGGTGCTCCAGCGCTCCCCAAACACCCCCAGATACCGCCGACGCCCCCTCTCCATCTCCATACTAGAGATTTAGGGTGGGCGTAGGAGAGGAGCCTATGGGTGCCTTCTTACCCGGGAAAAACCCAAGAGGGTGTCTTATCAACAGGTCAGGAATGAGTGGGGTGAGGAAGCCCTGCACCCCAACCCCACCCCCCACCCCAGCCGCATCCCTCTCCCGGGCCGTGGACGCCTGCAGACCCTCCAACTCCTTTTAACCTGATCCCCAAGGCACTAGAACCCCGGCGGAGGCTTCCAAAGGGAGTCGAGGAGCAGCCCCCCGCAAGCGAACCCCCCGTCCGCCCCCGACTCCGCTCAGCGTCTCCCCTCCGCCCCTGCTCCTGGAAAAGCCCGGCTCGGAGCAGCCAGGCCCGCGAGGCTGGCAGACAAGTGGCGGGCAGCTAACGGAAGGAGGCGAGGGAGGAAGGCAGGAAGCCGCCGCGGTGCCCCCCGCCTTCCCATCCCGACTCACCGCCGGGGTGGCGGGCCGGCGCCTGCGGCTGGGGCCGGGCGGAGAGCGGACAGCACGGACGGGGGCCGAAGCGGCCCTGGCGGCGGAGGCAGCTGACACGGCCGTGGGCAGATGCGGGCTCCGGAGACTTTCTCCTCAGGCTCGAGAGGGAAAAGGCTCCGTTGGCGGCAGCGGCGGCCTCTGGCTGCGGACGTGGCGCCCGACGCGACCCGCCCCCTCCGCAGCCTCCTCAGCCCCCGCCTCCTCCCGCTGCTCCGGCTCGTCCGGCGCACGCGCGCTCGCGCACCCGAGGCCCCCTGCTGTGCCCACCCGGCACTCGCCCACCCGTTTCTCGAACCGCCCAGCCCTCCCAGCAGCACCTCGCGGCCACCTCCCGACGTGCGCACGCGCACCGCTCCCGCCCCCACCCCCGCCGGACTCGTGGGAAGCCCCTGCCGGGCTGCCTGTGTGTGTGCGTGTGCGCGCGCGCGCCTCCTGCCGGGGTCTCCCCGCCCCTTTTCCTCCGTCGTCCAATCAGATGGAGCGAGGGGCGCGAAACCCGGGAGACGTTTTCCCTGAAGCCCAGAGCTGGATGGGCCCGGGTGACTGAGGAGCTTTATTTCCGCCCGCCGAGTAACGGGGACCGCAGTCCAGAACCTTAACCCTTGGCAAGGCGAGGTGGTCGCCGGTTCCTCCAGCTCAGCTCGTTCTTCGGCCAGGAGCTCCAGCGTCCTCCCTTTACCTGCCGCCCTCAGGACACTGACCACGAGCCGGGTCCTCTCCCAGCCCTCCCCGTCGGTGCCTTCCACCCGCCCTCGTGGACCGAGTGATGGGGTGAGACTTTGCCGACTTCTGTGTCTTTGGCTATTTTTACTCTTCCCTGTCCTAGAATTGAGCTCTCTGAGGGAATAAAAGCCCCTCTGGTTCGTCCCGGTCGCCCAGCGCCCGGCGCGCGAAGTTTGCTTGAAGAGCAGCGTCAGTGCTGAGTAGTAAAAAGAGAATCGGGGATGAGACTTGGCGCGGCTCGGGGACTCGGATGCCTCCCTGCCCTGGCCAGGGCGCTCCTTGTCCCGGAGGCGCCGAGAAGAACGAGGTGCCCAGGCGCCCTGCGCTGTGGGGCAGCTGGCATCGGGACAGGGCGCCCACTGCCACCTCGGGAGGTCCTTTAGAGAAAAGCTGTGCAGGGGCCGCTTAACTAAGGAAGTGCTAGGACCTTTCCCTGGACTGTTTGCACACCTACATGTTGCAGGTAACAGTAGATTCCCCTTGGAGTTGGTGTTTTGTTTTTGAGAGGCTCAGAAGGTGCTGGATGTGAGGTGAGAGGGCTTTGTAAAGGAAGAAAGGCCTTTTACAAACGTGACTGTTTTTTTTTCTTTCGCAATCTAATCAGCAAGTCAAAACAGACACGTGAAGCAAAATCCTCACAAGATGTTTTCTGTAATTCACAATAATGAAGCGGTGTAACTGAACAATAACAGAGGGAGGCTCTAACCAAAGAGCGCATCCTGGAGAAGCCTGCTTTGATCCAGTTCTGAAATAGCATGGATTAAATACAGTTGATAGTTTCATTCCATCATTTATAAAATCAGGAGTGAATCCACTTTGCCCACTTGTACTAAGACTATGCAAATAATTTGGCGTTTCCGAATTCGAAGGCAAAATAATCGTGTTGCTTCAGTATATGGAGTCATTGACTCACAGAATCTGTATATTAAGTTCTGTTTTTCCTGCCTGGAAAATGATGCATATTTCTTTAATTTTCTTGTTATCACAGAAACTTTTCTTCAGGATGTGCCTGACCTTTCAGGGTTGAAATTTAGGCAGAATTATTAGTTATACCGTGACACTTTGTTTCCTCTTGTCTTTGCAGTTCTTTCTGCAAGAGAATTTCTAAAAGTGTAAGTGCCTGGGCCTGGCATAGCACGTCAAGCCTCCACCCACTTTGCAGACAGATTCTCTGCTGCTTCACTTCAGATCCAGTTCCCTGCTTATGACCTGGGAAATCAGCAAAAGCTAGTTCGGTGCTTGGGCCCCTGCACCCACGTGGGAGTCCCAAGGAAGCTCTGGAAGGTGTTGAGTTCATCAGAACCATTTGACACTGCCAGTATAGATTGATAGTCATGTATTTCCTGTAAGTCTGAGCCTGCCTCAAATGTCTTACCTATAAAAATAGCACAACTCAGTGCCCACCCACTTGTAGGCCTAACATGAGAACAAGTGTGGTAGTCGAAATGGAGTGACTTTCATAAAGGGATGCCATCTTGAGTATCTTGCTGCACCAAGAGGAGCTTCAGGAAGACATGCCTTGTTATTTTACAGGCAGAATTCATCAAAGTTCTTATGTCCCATTTTGTGAAAATCCTTTCTTAGATTATTAAAATGAAGCTTTATTTCCACATCTATTTTAGGAAATTTTGTGTCTTTGCAAATCCTTAACGCCTTCAAGTTGTAATTTTAATAGAATATTTTTTTTTTAAGAATTTGGGGCGGGGGAAGCAAATTTAGAGAGAGAGAAAAGGAGAGAGAGAAAGAAAGGTGTTCCATCCATTGGTTCACTCCCCAGGTAACCACAATGACCAAAGCTAAGCCAGTCTGAAGCCAGGAGCCAGGAGCTTCTTCCAGATCTCCCATGTGGGTACAGGGGTCCAAGGACTTGGGTCATTCACTTCTACTTTTTCCAGCCATATTAGGAAGCTGGATAGGACATGAAGCAGCTGGGACATAAACAGATGGCCAAATGGGATACCAACATTGCAGGCAGGGAATTAGCTTGCTAAGTTACAGTGCCAGCCTGCTGTTCCTACTGTAATAGCAGTACAGTAAAGGCAAGTACTATGAGTGTCCAAAGGAAGAAACTGAGCTAGGTAATTTATGCCAGGTCCTGTAACTATTCAAGAGCAGACCCTGGGGCCAAACACAGTTTTGTCTTAACTCTAAATCACAGGGGTGTGTGTGTGTGTGTGTGTGTGTGTGTGTTTGAATTTCACGTATTTCAAAGGGTTGTATTTGGAGAGATCTTTTGTGTGCTGGTTCACTCCCCAGATGGCCAGAATGGCCAGAACAGAACCAGGTTAGAACTAGGCCCTTCATCCCGATCTCACAGGTAGGTGCTAGGGGCCCACACACGTGGACCATCTTCTACCGCTTTTCCTGGGGTATCAGCAGGGAGCTTGATCAGAATAGAGCACCCAGGATGTGAAGCAGAGTCCATATGGGATGCCAACATCACGGGTAGCAGTTTTACTTGCTGTGCCACAATGCCCAATCACGAGCTCTTAACCACTGTATTCTGAGAAGGAAAAACAGCCAATGACCTAGTGCTGACAGCCATGCCTTAGGGAGGCTGTGAATTGACCTGCATAACTAGACCTTGGGGCTCCACTGAGCAAAAGCAAAAACACCAACATCAGGGCAAGGCCACTTCATGATCTTGATGGATGGAAACAAAAGTAAGAATATAATGTTAGGACATAGACAAAGATATGAATGCTGTCCAAGCTGCCAAATGGAATATACAGAAAGGAAACGCAAAACTGGTAGAAGCAGCTGTTGTTTCTTTGCCAGATACTTTAACCTCATTCTAATCTTCCCTTTTTGTAGATAAGATTAAAGCACCCAATCATAGAATTACTTCCACTTTCTTTCAGTATTTGGTTTTAAAGCAAAGTTCCCTTTCCTTAAACCCTCCACTCAATCACGTAACATGAATCCAAGTCTTAATAAATGTCTTTTTTAAAAAAAAAACTTAGTTTTTTTGAAAGGCAAATTTTATAGAGAAAGGAAGAGCTGAGCCTAGATGAATCCAGGAAGAAGCCCTTGGCTCCTGGCTTCGAATCAGCTCAACTCCAGCCAGTTTAGCCATTTGGGGAGTGAACCAGCAGACAGGAGATCTCTGTCTCCTTTCTGCAACTCTGCCTTTCAAAAAGAAAATAAATAAAGTTTTTAGAAAAAGCTTACAACTCGTTCAGACCATCCACTTTTTAAATATGTGCACAATTGAAGTGTCACATTAACAAGGATACATGAATTGCAGATGAGCACTTGAAGTACTGCTGAGCATCGTAGTCGTTAGGGAAATGGAAATTAAAACTACAAGGAAGACTACTACTTAATTAACATTAAAGTATTTTCAATTGCCTTTAACCAACTAAAACCCTCAGATGTGGTTGGTGGGGATACCAAATGATACAAACACTTGGGAAGATGGTTTGGCACGTTCTTACAAAGTGACATTTACATATGACCCAGGAGTTCCACTCCTAAACATTTACCAAGGCAAATGAAAACTAATTCACATAAAGACCTGGACACACGTTTTACCAGAAACTATGAACATGCAAGGACCTTTAGTTGGCTGATGGATTAGCAAATGGTGGTCTACATGCAGTGGAACCTAGTCAGCCACAAAAGGAACAAACTACTACTAGACACAAGTCAGTCTTCAATGTGTCATGGTAAATGAAGGATGCAAAACAAAAGCCTATGTACTGTAAGATGTCGTTTATGTGACATTTGAGAAAAGACAAAGCACAGGGAAGAAAACACCAGTGGATGCCTGGTAGGTGGAAGGATTGACTGTAAAGGAGCTTAATAAATTTGGGGAGTAGGGCCTGGCACTACGGCCTAGTGGCTAAAGTCCTCTCCTTGAACACACTGAAATCCCAAATGTGCATTGGTTCTAATCCCGCGGCCATGCTTCCCATCCAGTTCCCTGCTTGTGGCCTGGGAAAGCAGTCGAGGACAGCCCAAAGTCTTGGACTCTGCACCCACGTGGGAAACCCGTAAAGAAGTTCCTGGCTCCCAGCTTCGGATCGGCACAGCACCGGCCGTTGTGCTCACTTGGGGAGTGAATCATTGGATGGAAGATCTTTGTCTCTCCTCCTCTATGTATATCTGACTTTGTAATAAAAATAAAATAAATATTTTTTTAAAAAGTGACAAAGCTGCAAATGGCACAGTGACTCTGAAGGCCAATAGAGAGAGGAGCAAAACATGCTGCCACAATTCACTGCTCCTCCAGCTCCACTACCAGAGACAGCATTTTGCTAGGAAATGATAAGCAGAGAGCAACATGATCCCCACCACTGTCCCTAAATGTGAGGGAATTCCACAGTCCTTGCTTGACTTTACATCAAATCTGGGGTGCTGACAGGGGCCTGAGTGAGGACTTCGCTCCAAAGAAGGAATCCACAGTGCTAGACCCACGCTGCTGCTGAGAAGCAAC